ACCAAAGATCCTAGAGTGCCGTAGGCCTACGGCACTCTAGGATCTTTGGTGGTAACCGGTAACTGTGTCGGTGTCGTCGCAGAGGTCATGTCATTTTAGTTGTCGCAAAGCATTGTGGGAAAATGCCTATCTTCAGATGTTGAGTGCGTACAAAGAGTACAGAACCAGAAATGGAGTGCGGAGATGATGAAAATGCTGTTGAACTTCTCTTCTTTGACACTTTTACCCATGAGAAACAGGTACGTTACCACCATCGTGGGCTACAGTATATAGCCTACAATCAACACCGCCTAAAACAACAACCAATGCTTTCCCAGACCCCCCGGTAGCTGGTGTCAAGGCATACTGTATGTAGATCCAGTAATCTAAACACAACAGTCAACACTGTTACTCTTGCGTTGGTTTGGTTGTTATTCGACGATTGTCTTTTTCGGTTGTCTTTTTCGACACAGTAGCGAATCTGTTAAAGTGGTACCCTCGTTTGGCTGAGTTTGTCTAGTGTGACGTAGTGTCCTCATACTAAATCGTTTTCACTGAAATGAAGATCATGGAATGTGATCGTCACTCCACAGTCTGTGGTGCAAAACGACACATCCCACGTTTTTACTATTAGTATTACTGGCATAAAGAAACATTACAATTTATATTCATTGAACATTTCCCGTTCATCATGATGTTGTTCATGCTGCTGTTCGCAGTGTAAAACCATCAACCAGTTACCTGATCGACATCGAACGCCTTCTTCTTCTTGTGAATAGTTGTCTTTGCGATAGAACATTATTTTATGATAAATAACAGCCACTTGGACCATCCCAATAATCAAAGCTGAATATTGAAATGGCCCAAGGGCGTGTTGTGGTTTATGCATGAGACAGTTTTAGTTCATTCGTAAATAAAATGTGTTTTTCAGGATTTAAACCTCGATCTTGTGCAGTTTCCACATCCAGTTAACATTCATGAAGTCAGAGTTATACCACTTGGCTCTCGGGTGAAAGCTGATTTCCCTGGAGGATATCGCCTTGGGTATGGTTGCCTAACTACATAGACTGCCCAAGCCTAGTTCAGAACATATATGTGCGAAAACACATTTGCGGACACATTGCGAAAACACATTATCCCAAACTATCCTTGATCCAACTGTAGATCTACCTCTTCGTGAATGACTACTATATAGGCGCAATTATACCATAGACAATGTGATGGCCATATCACTACTCAGTAACAGCGCAGCTATTTAATTAATTAAATATGCGGGAATCACTCGTGAGAATATTTGCATTCGTTAATAGCTAAATTTGCCCATATTGTGGCGAGTTGAGTTCAGAGGCAAAACAGGGTTTTACTATTAGTTTGTAAATTAATCGAGAAGGCGGTGCAATTTTCCAGTGCAACGAATCCGTCTGCATTCGTTCTGGACATGTTCATCAATAACCTGAGTTGCCCCGGCGCGGCGTCGTTTGAGCGATTCGGAAGGTAAGTGTGATTGCTTGGCATTTCTTCACTTCAAAGTTCTGTAAAAGAACGGCGAATCGCACACGGTGGCTTCTTCTCTAAAGCCCGGCGCACACGTGAGTTATTTTACTCAAGTAAAATGACGCAGTAAAATGACGCAGGCGTCAAATTACTCAACGAAAATCCGCCGCACACGTGAGTTATTTTACTCAAGTAAAATGACGCATGAGTCAAATTACTCAACG